CCCCCCCCCCCCCCTCCCGACTCTGCCAAGGGCTGATGTGCCTTGGCACAAATTCCTCCTCCGAGGTGAGTCTGGGAAATTTCCAAAGTCAGTTCAACAAGCGCTTGGGCTCCGTTTGCTATTTATAGCTCGACAACGGGGACAATGCCACCCAAGCACAGCAGCTCCGCGTGCTCTGGCTAAACTCAAAGCCAAGGGACCGAGCCCTGCGCAGCGCACAGCAGCCAGCGCGCATTCATTCAGTGTGAGCAACTGCTGCTATATCTGGAAGATGGTTTCAAGGGAAGATGGAGCTCTCCAAGGCAGAGAAAGAAAACAAATCCTTCGCCTGCATTCTGCAGGACAGCACTGCTCTGCTAAACTTCCTCGCCTCAACTAGACCCAATTTTTTCTGATAAAAAGTTAGCAAAGCATTAGAAGCCCACACAGCCCCTCCCTTCCTGATCGCTGCACACCCCCGTGAAAGCTTCACCGCACCATCACATCATAGAGCAAAGGTACTGACTCAGAGCTCCTTTGGGTGACAAAACTGTCCCAAAATACCCCAAGTGCTGCTCTTTGGGGAAGGCAGTTCAGCAGAGCAGCCCTGTACGCACCCAAGGAGAGGGGAGCAGGGTGGCCAGAAATGAACCACGCACATTGAGGCACCAACAAAAGCAGGATCAGCAGGATCAGCATCCTAGCCATTCAGCGAGGATGTGAGCTGCGAGCAGCAGGGTTTCTGCAGTATTTTTAGGGCAGTCAGAGCAGCAGCCGAGACCAGCCGTGCCAGGCGTGGGGCTGTCACAGCCCGCGTCACACCGGGCTGCTCAAGCCTGACACGAGCCCACCCAGCTGCAACCAGACTGTCCAAACTCAGCAAGGCCAGGACACGCTGCTCCATCCATCTGTCGTCTCCCCAATTTCACCGACGATGCAAAAGTCAGCAGAGAAGCTGCTCAGAGCGAGCCGGGGACGGACGCATTCCTGCCTTGAGGGAGCAGAGCGAGGTAATGAGACACAGGCACGGACTCAGCAGCTCGCAGGACTGACTCACCTCCCCGGCCCTCGGCAGCTCCGGGGCTGGATGGAGATCAAAAGGTAATAAATCAGATCAGAAAAACTAAGGTCTTGATGTCTGAACCAGAGATGGAAGAGGAGATTCGCACACCTCCCCTGCGAGAGTCGCACCGGGGCAGGAGGAGCTGCCTTCTCTCGGAGCGTTGCCAACACACTTGTTTGTTTTTTCCCCTCCCCAAGGTCCCAGCTGTTAAATACATGATCGCAGGATCTCCCAGACAGACTCACTCCAAAAAGCACGTATACCGTTGCGTCCCACGATTTGAACAGGAAAAAGCCTGAAAATCCAAGCCACGAAGACTCCAAATACTCAACATCTCCTTAGTAGTGACATTTGCAAAGCTCATTTTTCTTTCAGCAGTTTCTAAATGATCGGGGGGGTTGTAGCACCAACTTCCAGCCTCCCAAGAGTTGTTTCCATCCCAGCACCCCACAGTGGGAGAACTGTTTGGCCAAAGCCATGTATCCCAAAGCCATTGGTGCTGCCACTCGCATCCCTAGAGCCCACCCGAAAAGGCGTTAAGCAACCTGCCTCCTTTCCCAACACACTTATAACCCAGTCTTTACTCCAGTCCAAAGCCCAGCAACGTGTGAAGGAGGAACCCGGGGCCAGAGTCATGACACACACGCTCCGGCCATCACAGGCCTGAATTCCCTGTCCCCGCCAGAGCCACAAAACAAGCCCCGACCCACAATCTCACACGGACATGAAGTTTATCACACTTTGCTAGTCCAGATATAAGACCATGTCACATTGAAACGCCTCCACCAGATCAGAACTGCTCTGGAGAGCACCCAGCACCAACCCAGAGCACGGGCCTCTCTCTGCCCTGGGGACATTCCTGTCCAAGCCCCAGCAGGATGTAACAAAGCCCTTTAATAAACTGCAGGAAAAAACACATTCGGCCTCACTCACCTCCGTCGCCCTGCTACGCTGTCCCAGGACAAGACACACGCTCACACAGACTGGCTCTAACACTGTGACAGGTCCATCCCCGAGTGACACGTCCAAAAGGTGCAGGACCCTGTTTGGGACAGGTCTAACCTCATTACCGTCCCACGCGCTGACGCCTGCTCAGCTCCCGGCCTCGCTGCAAGCACTTTTGCTGCCATTTTCATGCTCCCACTTCCTGCTCACATCAGGCAGCCGAATAGGAAGTGCTGAAATCCTCTGATCCTCGCTGCAAACCAGGAAGCGCCGGAGATCTCCTGAGAAAGGCTGTGATTTCCAGGCTGGAAATGCTCTGCAAACATCTGGTCAGAGGTATCGCATCCGGACCCTCAGAGCACGGGGCCCACCCTCCCCATCCTCCCCGAGCCTGCTGCTTTCACCAGCTGCTGGAACAAACACGGGGCAGAAACCACTTACAGATCATCCAGTCGGGCAAAAACTACTGCACGGCCCAAATCCTCTGGCCGTTCGCTTCCCTTCCTCCCCCAGGACAAGCGACACCTCATCTCTCCTGCACACACCGAGCCACATCCAGCCCGGGCGCACATCTCAGCGCCGCCTCCGCAGCAGCCTCCCGACGTCCCATTACTCAGCAGAGCCTCCTGACATGCCCAAACCCCGGATAATACCTTTACCATGGAAAAAGGTGTGGGAAGATGCGCTTTTCGGGAGCTCCGGGATTGCCAGCAAAGGGCAAATCTTGGACGACTCACAGATCTGTGGGCTGCATTGGCTCAGTCTCCAGACAGATCCGGGCTATTCGGGTTATCGACGGCTCTTTTCCCAGCTCACATCCCATCCCAACAAGGTATTTAGCGAGAAAAAGAGATGCTTTTTGAGCAAATACACCCAAAGAGGATGCAGCCCAGCATCCATTTAGCGCTGTCGCTCCTCCGCCCTTAAAGCTTCGCTCCCTGCAAGCACCACTGGCCTTCAGAAGGGAAAGGCAACAGGGTTAGAACAAAAATGCTCCAGCAACCAACAGGCTCGTGTTTACCACATCTAAAGACACGCTCTCGAAGGCGGCCACAGGTCTGGGGACCTTGCTGGACCCGAGGAGCCTGGGACTCACGAGCCTGAAGTCTCTCCCTCAGCTTGTCCAGGCTGACACCCACAGCCACATGTGGGCTGGGGACACTGTCCCCTCCCGGGGTGGCTCCTGAAGCCACCATCACCCAGTGCTTCCCCAGCACCAGCCCAGTCTCCCCACTGCGGCCGGGGCCCCCTGTGTCCAGGCCATGGGATGCTCCCTCCCCCGGAGCCTGGCACGCCACACGCCAGCACGAGCCACACACCCCGACACCGGGGTGACACCCCTCCATCCACACCGGGCACACCGGCACCCCCAGCCCATGGGGGCTGCAGACCCTGAGGGAAGCCTCCAACACGCCTGGGAGTCAGACCCCCCCCGATCCAGACCAGTTGCAGAGGGGACCCAGCTTCAGGGCACCCCTTCAGGGCAGCCTGCCGGCCCGGGGGGGGTTTGGGGAGCAGGGGGTGCAAGGGCTGGGGAGGGAAACGAGCAGAGCCAGGTTGGGCCAGGGCTGCCCCGGGGGAGGCATCTCCCCCCTGGGACTGGAGGGGAAATGGGGCCAGGCCCGGCCCGGGAGAGGCCCCCGGACAGGGGTTCAGTCGGGGGAGGCCTCTAATGCCCCCCGGGGATGGGGGGCCTAACCCAGGGGAGGCCTCTCCTGCACGGGGACGGGGGTCTCGGCCCGGGGGAGGCCTCTAAATCCCCCCGGGGATGAGGGGCCCGGCCAGGGGGAGACCCTGGATGTGGGTTCGGCCCAGGGGAGGCCCCTAACGCTCCCCGGGGATGGGGGTCCCGGCGCGGGGGAGACCCCTTTCCCCCCCGGGGGTGACAGAGCCGTGCCCGCCAAGGTGGAAGCGTCCCCGCCACCGCCGCCCCAGTGCCTACCTCGGGCGGAGGCCGGCGGCGGGGCCGGGCGGGGACAAAGGCGAGGCCGGCGGG